ACATTATTCACACCTCCACCCACAGCTGACTAAACTGACCAACAATTGCACAGCTACTGTTAGTATGCTCTGTTAGCAGTAACAAATCTGCTAAATGTATTTCCTGAAAAACTGGAGGTGTTTGTGGGATTTAAACCCAGCCCCTCTCACATCCCTTAAAAAAAGACTATTGTTTCCAGCAAATGAAAAAAGGGTCAGGAGTTGAATTATTCCGATGCTGAGTTGTTGATGTCTTAATGTGAGGTCAGGAAGTCTACTGCAACATAAGAGTGTCTTTTAAATCCTCTTCAAAAACATAATAATTACTTACACAACAGCTCGAGGCTGAGTTATCATTAATGTCATGTTCATGAGCACACTCTGCTTTTCTGTTTCTCTGCACACATATTACACCCTTGATAAAGCACACTCTTACATGCACATGATCACAAACTCAGAAGCAGATTGCACACTATGACGCTTGTTCACAGGCAGGCTCTGCACAGCTGGAGATACAGTCCCGTGCATGCATTGCTGTAGATAGACACACACACACACACACACACACACACACACACACACACACACACACACACACACACACACACACACACACACACACACACACACACTTCCTGGCCCGTGTCTAATCTACTCCCCACCTTGCAGATCAATAATTCATCAATTTAATCTTCAATGATGTTCCTAATCAAACTTTCATGTGACAGGATGACTTTGTTAGAGTGATATTAATAGAAGAAAATTAAAGTATTTGTTGCAAGCCGCACTGAGAACGTAATGCAACATGCATGAGGAGGCAAGGTGAAGAAGGTGAAGGGCAGGCAGATATCACCGGTTGAGTCAAAGGGTTTTTGTTGAGCAGTTAGCGAGACCAGAGCAGACAACAGAGAAAGATAGAGCCAACTACTCTGAGACTCCTCTCCACTAATGGCTCTAATGAGCTCCCTGGAGTCCTGGCTCTTTAAGACACAGAAATGCAGTGGAGATCCACAATGGGGGCAAACGGAGAGAGCGAAGACATGAAATGAACTAGATAGCAAGCGATTAATTGCGAATAACTTAAAGGTGACCTATCATGCAAAATGCACTTTTGTACGTCTTTTATACATGAACATGTGTCCCCGGTGTTCCAGGGAACTCAGCAAGTGTCAGAAAACACAACCCTCTCTATTTTCCTCCATACCCAAGTCTCTTACAAAGGGGCTGCAACGGATCTGATACAGACTGATCCAGATTTGAACACTTCTATGACGTCACAGAAGTGGCGCTACGGCTATTGGGCCAACTCCACCAATCAGGAGGAGACAGCCACGGACATTGCCGTTGGAAAACGCTGGAGACGCTGTAGTACATATGCCAGGCCTGTAGATGGTGCTGTTCTCACAGAATCAGCCCATGCAAAGACAGTGTTAAATTGAGCGAAATGAGGAATGGCTAAAATGCATGATCTGTTTGGTATTTTGAAAAATAAAAAGTATAAATATGCCTTATAGGTATGGTCCTACTATATTATTAAAATATAGCATGATAGGTCCACTTTAATAGAGGTGCAAAGACTGGCGGGGGAATGACAAAATAGTGATCATGCATGAGCTCACACAGGCCCAGCCACACACACGCATGCAAAGGGTCAGGCATCTCCATCATTCACACATTTGTGAGCCGCGAGGAAGCCGCAGTCATCACCAGAGCTACAGTTCTTGTTTTGTTTAGGGTTGACCCATTTAAGATAAACAAAACATCAATAACGCTTTCCTCAGCAAGCAAGCACACACACACACACAAGCGTGCGAAAACCACGTTCCCGCTCATCCCGACTGCGAGAGGAAGTCAGCGAGAGTGTTTGAAGTGTGTTTGATCAAACAGAGAGTATGCAGCACCACTAGCGGATGCCACAGCCTATACTCCTCACAGCGCCCAGAGACAGCCATACACGCCTCCTGTCAATTTTCTCTCTTTCTCTCCATCTCTCACACTTTACTCTCCATCCTCATTTTCCCTTCTACTCGTCTGTGTCCATCCCATCCATCTTCCCCCCCGATTTTAATTCTGGATTGGTTTGAAACACTTTTGAGCTCATTGCCTTAACAAATCAAACAGTAATTGCTACAGACACTAATCTCATTAAGATACATGGCTGACATACTTCTTAAAAAAAAAAAACTATATTTCATTTCAAGCCCTTTCTTTTCTTCTCTTTCATAACACATCCTTATCTAAAACAAACGAGGAAGCTCCTCACAGCCATGCTCCTTGTTAGGCAAATATAATTCACCACTGTGCATAAACTATAAATATACCCGTTACTATCTCTTCCTTCCTTCCCTCCTGTCTCTGGCTTCACCCCGGGCTTTGGATGATTGGTGCCACAGCGAGCTTCATGGCACCCACTTGAGTCCACGTAGCCACAGTGCGAAATCAAATAAGTCTACAGTAAGTATGTTTGTTTGTTCAGAGACTGATACTTCCAATAGAGAAGCACCTTCTTCTTGTGCAACTGCTATGAAGGACGTCAACACAAAGCCCAGTGGAGAACAGAGTCCTCCTGCAAGCCCCTTCAGTAATCAGGGATGAGAAGAGGTGGGAGAGGAGGGAGAAAAAAGGGGGGGAAGCCGAGAGAAGGGGAGCCCAGCAGTTGCTTCAGAACTACAAGGCGAGGAATATTTGCCAGCCTGTGATTAGGCTCTTCAAACCGGTGTAAGGATCTTTTTTTTTTTGCTAATGGAGCAAACACACTTACATACTCCTGAGCCACACCTAAACACCCACAGACAATGGGCAAAGAAATAGAAAAAGGCACACACACACACACACACACACACACACACACACACACACACACACACACACACACACACACACACACACACACACACACACACAGACAAATCCACACACTCTCTCTCTCTCACAGACTCTCTCTCTTTCTCTCTCTCTCTCTCGCTCCATAGTTTTTGAACGGGTGGCAAAATGGTCAGATATACAACAAACACTGACAGACTGGACTTTAACAGACTGTCTCAGCCTATTATTTTCTGTCTGATGCAGACATCATACAGACTTCAACAGGTTCCACATATTTTATACATTATTGGTGATGTATGGTTTTAGTCGAAAAGTTTGCCGTCAAAATATTCTGCTGCTTGACCAAGCCTTTTTACTTTCTTTTCTCATCTTAATACAAATCCATTCACTACTACTTACATCTGATATTTAACTCCTTCAGCCTATTTTCAGCTGCAGAAACCATTCAACTATTACATTATTCAACTATTTCAGGACATCAAGGCTATACATGTTGTTGTTTATACCTTTTTTTAAACCTTTTCTTTTAAATATTAAGCTTTTTCTGCATTTTTGTAGCTAAAAGCAGCTACCATTCAGCTAATAACATATTCAGCTTTTTCTGCATTTTCATAAATGTTCACAGTTTACAGCATTCGCACGCATTTTCTGCAGGAAATGCATTTTCTAGTTTCTCTCACAATAACAAAAACCGACTGAATAATGTGTTAATAGTGTGTATTGTACATATACTACATATTACTTTTTGTACTTTGTGACGGCTAATCTGTCTGACGAGGTCTTTGACAAATCGACACGTCACTCTATTAAATCAAATTGCGTGGAAATCAGTTCAGTGTGCAGATACTTTTTTGTGGATGACATATCCAATATCCACAGTGGGAGTTTGAACCCCAATGCTTGTTTGATTTTGCTTTCAGTTTGTTTCTGATCCAGCACCTGTTGTTTTGAATGTGCTTATGCTACACACTGTTTTCTGTGCATAGTCCATTATTAGAGAAATATTTTCACCATGCCCCCAGGCAGGCCTTGATCTTTGCATGGTGCTTATCATATCCTGGCTGACATGTTTGCCAATGATCTTCTTACTGTAACGATCTTCCACTCGATTCAGATTTAGAGTGAGGGACTTTCCAATTTCCATATTCCATGCCTATACGGGGGAAATTAGTAAAAGCCTTTGTGAAAAGTAATGGCATTCTGTCGCATTAAATTAAATATACAGCTTTCCATGTGATGTAGTCTTTTTTGAGTTGCGTTTTGTAGCTGTTGATGTAACATAGCTTTTATATGATATTATAATTATAATTCATAGCATTGAAAATACACTGATAACCAGAAGAAGACACAGACTGATATTAATGTTTTATTGTAAATAAATATAAACATATTAAATTATAAGAGATTGGAAAAAGGTTGCAGCTTAATTATCATGCAAATAACATTTAGAATGAAGCTTTCTTAGCAGTTATTTTTGTGTGCTTATATATATTGAGAATGGGCATGAAAATGGTAGAATGGGTCTTTGAAAAGTCATGGACAAGTCTAAGTATTTTGTCACGGAAAATGTGTGGATACCCTGAAGATTGTTTTGAAATGATTGCACTACATCGGACGTGTCATCATGAAAACATGCATGAACATAATCTACTACCATCTACTTTATGAGACTCACAACATTTGCAATGTGACTTCATCATGATTCTAAAGACTTCACATGAGATTAGCAACAATATTAAGGTTCATACATATTTTAATGGGTGTCGTGTTACAGTTGTACAGACCTATTTTATCATGCACTTAGCCTTTATATTCTATTTTGTCCATGTGAGCCATTTGTGTTTGTGTGTGAGGTTAACGACTGTACGTCTGACCCCTCGTATACGTCCTGCCCCACCATCACATGACCCTCATGACTGTGATGATGTGTTAACTGTAGCGGTGATGTCATATTGATGGCGGTGATGTCACGGTATGCAGGTCATCTCTCTCTGTAGTTGGTGGATTGTGCTGTTTCTAATCCCTCATCTCTCTGCTCTCTTATGTCTCCCTCCCTCTCCCCTCTCCCCTCCCTTCTTCCTGTCTGTGTGTACTTCTCCCCCTCTCTTTCCTCCTGTTTTATCTTCCCTCTGTATATCTAACCCCTCCCCGCCTCCCTCTCCCCCCTCTGTGTCTTGTTTTCCCTCCATCAGGTGTCCCAATGACTATACGGGGGACCGCTGTCAAAACTCCGTCATGGCCGGTTTCTACAGTATGTCCATTTGCTCTTGTCTGTCTCCTCCTCACTGAGATGCTGCATGCTACATCGGAAGGGTTGGATGAAGGGAGCACTCTGTGTGTATGTATGTGTGTGTGTGTGTGTGTGTGTGTGTGTGTGTGTGTGTGTGTGTCGTGTGTCGTGTGTGTGTGTGTGTGTGTGTGTGTGTGTGTGTGTGTGTGTGTGTGTGTGTGTGTGTGTGTGTGTGTGTGTGTGTGTGTGTGTGTGTGTGTGTGTGTGTGTGAGAGAGAGAGAGAGAGATATATAGAGAGATAGAGAGATTGCATGCCTCTGTGTCCGCCCCTTCCTCTTCCTGTCTCCCCTGGTTCCTCTGGCCACCAGAAACAAACAAGAGTTATATTTTATAATTCACACATAAGTTCAGTCTCACACTGCTCTAACCTTACGTGGAGCACATTTCATTCTGGATGATTGCCCTAGAAATCTGGTTAAAATAACCCCAAAATTGACAACTCAACAAAAAGCACCACATATTTAAACTCTTACATTTAAAGTTCTGTATTTTTTATCTGTAAATTGCACACAGAATACTTGATCCAAAGAAATGCACATAAGGAAACAGAGGAGACAGAGAATGAACATAATATAAATACAGGAGGAGTTTTTTTTCTTTCATTTGTTAATTTTTCTCTGCAGATGGTCCATTGGTGCTGTATAGGTTGACAAAAACGTTGATTGCTAATTGATGTTAATATATATTATTGTACAAGGGTGAGAGTTCTCACTCTTTGGTGTGCCTCTCTTTTATACAAAGTTATAAATATTTCTTTGATTTTACTTAGCAAGACTGACAATCGAGGCTTCACATTCTATGTTTATTTGACATTGTTTTAAACAGTCATTTCTAGAAATCCAAACACATCCACCATTTCAAATGTTAATATAATCAAAGTTTTAAACATTACTGTACTAAGAAATTAGAAATAAAATCCACAACATTAAATGTTGTTTTCACTCTGAGCATCCATGGATCATCTGATAAAATCTGACTTTGTAGCATGTGGCTAACAAAAAAAATGCTGCTTGAAATGTTTCAGGGTTAAGCTCTAATATGTTCATAATGGTGGTTTTGCTTCTCATAACAGTGAAACCAAATAAAAATCATAGTTTGGCATTTAAAAAAAAAAAAAACTCTTTGTTAGTGGAGAACACTATCTATGATGCTCATGTTTGCAATGCGTCATAAAGGAATTAAGTAGATAAATATTTAGTTAATTGCTAAAAAATTCCTAATGATTTATAAAACTAGTCATAACCCATTAGAAAGCATTTAATAATGACATAAATGGTCAAGTCAAAGTGATCTGACATTAAAAGGATTATAGTGAAATACAACTAATTGTAATTCATCATAATCTTGGTGGTCATTGGGTGCTTTAAGTAATACAATTCCTGAGGTACCGCCACATTCAGTATAATACATCACAAGCTGGTCATTATAGTTGGTCATTGAGTGCTTAAAGTAATTGTGACCAGCAATTATTAAATATTATGATACTTAACCTTATAAGCCATTGTAAAATTATGATTTTAATAAATCATTATGAATATTTATGTGCTTAAAGTTCTGATTATACAGAGCTATAGGCAGATTAAACACACTATACATATGTTAATTTTGCAGTATATACATGGGCATTACAGAAAGTGCCACCTCTTGTGTGTGAAAGTACACCCAGAAAACATTTAGCTTAGTTTAGCACAAAGACTTAAAATAAAGGGAAAGGGTTAGCATGGCTCTGTCCGATGGTAACAGAATCCACCAAAAAGCACCTCTGAAGCTCATTGACTTACACATTATGTTTGTATAACTAAATTGAAAGCTACCGTGTAAAAACTTGTTTTACAGGAAGCTTTGCGCTAAACCATATTTTGGCTAGAAATATTGACATACTGTATTATCGATTGCCTTATCTTACTTGGAAACCATTGGTGCTGAAAACGTTTTCCTTTGTAACTAAGGACAGAGCCAGCCTAATAGTGTCCCCCTGCTTCCAGTCTTCAGAGCTAATATGCTAATTATAACGCTAATGTTAACGCTAATGCTAACAGTTTCCTGGCCGCAGCTTCATATTTACCGTACATACATGAGATTGGTATTACTTTTCTCATATAACTCTCAGCAAGAAAGCAAGTGAACATGTATTCCATACATTTCAAACTAATGCTTTGTATCCTAGGCATGTTTCATCAACCCAGTATCACGGCATTTCGTGTTATAGTCACAAAATTAATTTAATCTATTGATTCTTGTTCTATAACACGATTTTCGTGTCTCACAAAACGATTTTAAAAGCAATGTATTTCTATTGGTAGTATGTTTTGTGCCTGCACCACGTCTTTTTGTCCGGTCGGGTCTTGGAAGACCGGAAGCTGTGGGGTTCATAAAAACATTTTCTTACTCAATATCTTACCCTAAGCCTAACCCTAACCCTTTTATTTTAAATAGTATAATGTCGGAGTTTTTTTGCCGTCCGTGAGGGAAATAAATGGGGCGAAGAGCCTCAGAATAATGAAATCTGTATTTCTTTTTTTTCTTTTTTCTAATTTGTTATTATTTGGTGCAGGCACAAAACATACTACCAATATAAATACATTGCTTCTAAAATCGGTCTGTGTCAGAATACTGAAATCTGTATTTTTAAAAATCTCTTTTTCCTTCTAATTTGTTATTATTTACATTGCTTTTAAAATCGTTCTGTGTGACACGAAAAAAATGGGGAAATTAAATTGTGTGTCTATAACAAGAAATGGTTACCAATGGTTGTTGGTTTCGTCACTCGGTTTCGATTGTATGGGCAGTTAGGCATTTAGCCTAAATTGGGACAATCTGTTCAAAATTAGCAATGTGCAATGCTTCTATGGTAACTGTTTTACATCAGGAAATATCATACTATATGTGACGTCTGCTTATTTCTGACCCCACCATCAAGCCTCGTCTACCCGCTGAAATCTGTGTGCTTTTATTTTGCTTTTTGACGCTCTCTCTGTCAGTCGAAGCAACATTTCCCTCTCGTTTCGAATCCATGTTGATTTGTTACTGCCTGCTTTTTTCTAGTGCTACGAACATAGGACCCTGTCAAAGTGTAGAGTACTTAAGGTCAGGGTGGACAGAAGATAATGTGTATGGGCATTTCTCTTTACTGCCGGTAATGCATGCAAAGCAATGGAAATTGGGAATGCCGAGACGATTTCTCCGTAAATCATATGAAAGGTTATAATAGCTGTACGCAGCAGTAGTGGGACAAAGTGCTATACAAGAGGTATGCTGTAATCAATACAAAGGCGCACAATTGCCATTAGTCAAACGCCCCCATTCGCTGTGCCAGCCTCATCGACTGTACTGTGTTTTTATGTTGGAGAGTAACTCACTGCTTTTGATCTTTTCTTTCTTTTATCTTGTTGTTTTTTCTATTATAATTTTGTTTCTGTCTGTTGTTCTGTACTCCAGAAATGAGGTCTAGTAAATATAGCAGTAAGTGATGTGGCTTCTTGTCTTGCTGTCTTTGTCCGTCTGTCTCCGCATGCCTTTTTCCGCCCGTTGGCTTATCTTTCCTTCTGCCTTGGGTTCATTTTTCTCCCTTCGCTTTTGATTTCGTTTCGTTTCAGTTAATAATTTCTGGGGGTCACAGAGCTGAGGCTGTCTGAGTTGTCTGTCTGTTACTGGACGGTACACACGTCAATCACTATGATTGACGGCACTAATTAACTTATATCCTGGTTCAGTGTATACAAGACATGAAAACGATTTATCTGCTCCAAAGTGGACATTACACCTGACCCTATCTGTCTCTTTCCTTTTACCACGACAACTTTCTGCGCTGGCAGAGCTTCTCAGAATTGAATTTATGGGTATGGAACATTATTATTCATTTTGCTGTGCTTAAAAGCTTTGCCAAGATCCTCTCACAGTCACACATTATTGTACCATCTTTTTTCTAAAACAACTAGGTCTCCCTCAACCTGTCCCTCTTTCTCCTGCCCACTAACCTGCTTTAACACGTGACCTCCCTTCTCTGCATGCATCCCCCTTACTGACATTAAACATTCAAAAAAGACATAAAATAACTAGGAAGGAAATGGAAATGAAAGATAGTGCAGAGGTGAATTAGAACACGATGTTACAGGTCTGATATGAATCAAAGTTACATTGGACACTGTATCGGAGCCAAAGACACCTTCTTTCCCCAACAATCAGAGAGCGTTTCGCCTCATCGATACCTACAAGTCTCTGGCTTGTCCCCCGGGCTTTGGCAATTTGCATATTGGCTTCAGCAGCCTGTCGAATAAAAACATGCAAGCTGCAAGTATTTCTGCAAAGTGTTGCCAAAAGCGAGCCAAAGGCCTGAGCATAGTCCGTCCTTATTATTCTGCCCTTGATTGACTCCATGTCAGAGTGGAGAGCTCGCCTGTCCTAAATCACCATTGCTGTTGGCTCCACTGTGCCAGCGAGAGCGCCTTTCCATTTCCCCTTTCGCTTTTCTGTATCAGTACCCTGTGACACACACACAATGCCGGGCCAGGCCTCTCATGGGCTTGTCAATCCCTACAGAGGCCCTTTATTTAGAACCCCCCCCTCCTTTAACCCCCTTCCTTCCTCCTCAGTGGCGTGTCTGTACGGGAGACAGATGAAGGTTAGGTGATTAGGTCATAACAGTTTAATTAATCTGCCTCTTAGTAAATTCATTTTAGTAAATAAAATCAATCAACACATTCTGATGAATTTTAGCATACTTTCAATCAACTTTATATCATATAAACCACTGGTAGGTAAATAAACAGATAGTCTTCAGCATATAGGTATCACAGCAGACAGCTTCAGTTTCAGTCCAAAGTAATAAGAAACATTAAAACGAATACGTTTGGATAACAGTGGGTCCATGACATTGAGAAACAGTGATCTTCTGTGACTTTAATTCAGCCATAACTAACAATCCAAAGGCCTTTTTTAATCTAGTTTTAGCTGATAAGAGGACAAAGTCAGGACAGTCTGGTTTCTGGGGACTAGTTTCTCCCCAGGCCTTTCTCCCGGACACGCCCCTCCTCCCCCTCCTCTCCCTCCTCTCCCTCTGTCTACTCGTTTCCTCCTGCTCCTCCTTCCTCTCCACTTAGCCTTTTATCCTTTTATTCCCTCATGTTCTGTTCTGTTTGTTGCTCCCTGTCATTGTGACGTCGCGCTTCAGATACAGTGTTACACCACAGCGGGCCCAAAAATGTGAATTAACCTAGATAAACCAATATGTTGAAGTATTCACAAACTTGTTAATAGAGTTTAATGTAGTTCAGTGTAACATGATCCAAATCTGTCTTAAGATGTTCCCAAAGGAAAGTTCTCACTTAACATAAAAGTGTTGTAACCAGTTCTATCCTCAAAAGTGTTTGATATGCAAATCGTGAATGTAGAATTTTAAAAATATATATTTGGGCTACTTCATATTATTTATTTTGTACGGTTTTAGGTCAATTCAATAGATGACCAAGGGAAAGATTAATTGTCTTTTATGGTTGTCCTTGGATGTGTTTTCTAATTTAGGTGAAAGACAAATTGTGCTAAAATATCACATGTAATACATTTAATGACAAATTGGCACATCATAAAGAAATGAATGCCATAATACCATGGTTTAATTTAATGGTTTAATTTTTCCAGCTGTTTTTCAAGCAAAACTTAAGTTGCTATAAATGCCTTTCTCTTGTCAAATTAGCAAGGATAACAAAGTAAAAGATTAACCTTGTAGGTAAAAAATACTTTTACCTCAAAACCTGTTTGACAATGCAGTTTAGTTGTTTCGGGAATATATGTTTTAAAAGACCAGGCTGCATTTTGGCCACCACAGTGTCACGTAAAAACCTCTGTGAATAGTCAAACTTGAAACAAAAACCGAACCCAGAAACAAAGGAAAATAAAAATGATCAAATCATTTATAAATATTAAAGAAGTGTCATATTTCCCATATTGTCACTTTTTGTGACCGTTATGGTGGTGGTGAGCGTTTTAAATACTTAACCTTTATGCTCTCAGCCCATTGTGGTGTCAACACTTTGAACAAAATATGCTTATTTAATTTGTTTTCATCTGGACAACTCATCTTTTGAGGATTTCATCCATACAGGCATGCATTCAGATCCCATCCAATGCCATCTGTAGCATTACATCTCATGTCCTTGTAAATACATGTGTACAGGGACAGCAGGAGGACTATTTCAGGATGTAGCTCTGCTTTTCATCATAACATTTATGAGCTTTGAGAATTACTCCTGTGTAGTAGCACTGTTTGACTGTAGTACAGTTTAAATTGAAAGGCATGTGTCTTATTAGAGCACGAGCAGTTTTACAGTCAGCACAGGGGATAGGGTGGCAGCAGCTAATTCTTAGAAAAATGTTTCTGTAGTCACCATCAATGGAGTAGCGCTCATACTGTTTGTGTGTGTGTCTGTCTGTTTTGTGATTGTCTGTCTGCCATGGATGGATGTGTGTGTGAATATGTGTGTGTGTATGTGTGTGTGTGTGTGTGTGTGTGTGTGTGTGTGTGTGTGTGTGTGTGTGTGTGTGTGTGTGTGTGTGTGTGTGTGTGTGTGTGTGTGTGTTTCAATCCACAGAGGCGGAGGAGCTCTACCAGAGGCGGGTGCTGACGATCACAGGCATCTGTGTGGCGCTGCTGGTGGTTGGCATCGTTTGTGTGGTGGCCTACTGCAAAACCAAGTATGTATCGTTGAAAGGAACATAAATGACCACAAAGAGCGGCTACAATTTTCTAAGAAGGATTTAAGAAGCTGGTGTTCAGAAATGGTCTCCTGTGATTAAAATGTTACAATAGGGTGCATTATTAGATGGTTACTGATTCATTAATGGAGGTATTTCATAAAACCTAGGATGCAGGTCCACTAAATGAAATACAATTATATTTATTTTTGGGATTTTCCTTGATCCTTGCTATTTTGTGAAACATTGGCTAATTTCCTCCTCTGGATGTTGTTATTTAACTGAAAGCACCTGAGATGTTAAGATGAGAAAACACTCCTTAATTGAACTGTTAACAATTCACTGACATCTGAAACACTTGGCATAATACCAAGTATTTCTGGAACACCAATCCTGTTCAATTGTGACAGGGCTGCCTAACCTTGATAATATTGCCGTAACTATGAAACGATTATCTAATAAGTAAAGAGCGTGAGCGTGATTTTTAAAGAGCAATTATAGTGATCAATCAGTTTAGCACATTAGCCAGATGACTTATTGTTCCCTCATCACCACTCCTCCAGAAAGCAGAGGAAGAAGATGCACAGTCACCTACACCAGAACCAGAACCAGTGTGTGGAGCAGCCCAACCGCATGCTGGCCAACGGGCCCAACCACCCCGGGCCCGGCCCCGGCCCCGAGGAGATCCCCATGGTCGACGTGAGTCAAAACTGTAGAAATACACACCAGAATCAGGTACAGGAGAAGTGATGCTAAGGTTTAAATCACAGGAAGTAAAGTCACGTTTTGACCACTTTTACTTCATGCTGAGCAGTCCACAGGGTCTACATGTTTTCAGAGGCAGAGCTGCTCTCAAGGCACAAACAAAAGTTACCAACACAAGCTTGAATGGCATAAGCACTGATTGGCAAGAGGGATATAGATACGATAAGATAAGATTGTACCTTGTTGATCCCAATTTGGGAACTGTTTGTGTATATTGTTAGTATGTACTTATTTATATATGTGTATGATTATTTTTTCTTAGGCTGGTTAGGATAAAGTTTATGCTAGAATGGGTCCAGTTACCTAAGACACTTTGGCCCCTATGATTTTGTTCTAGCTTCTGGCAGCCAGCAATAGATTTACAATTATCCATTCAGGACACATAGAAGTCACATTTGTAATCTCGAGGCAGACTTCCCTTTCTTATTAAAGTGCTGCTGAAATCAATCCAGTTATGTCAGTGTTTTTAATTAAATTCCCCATCCTATAAATAGGATTTTGGTGTCAAGTTTTCCAGAATCTCCTCAGATATTCATTAATGCTTAAGAAGGAAAAAGAAGAAGAAGACATTAGAACTGGATGTCAGGTTCACCTGAGCATGCAGAGCCTTGGTCGGTTAATGAAGTCACTGCTAGACTTTATTTAGCTTTGGTGCTTAGATTTGAACTCCACCAAGAACTTTTTCTTTTAGCCTCCAGAGCAGTTTTGCCTTCAAAAGAGCCTTTGTGTAAATAAATACTCTGATCCAGTGTAAACAAAGGGCAATATGGAGCTGACAGACGGTAAAGAGAGTGGAAAAACACCTACCATTCTCCTGAAGACATTATGTGTGCATGAGTCAGCATAACACCAACAATGAAAGAGAAGTGATGATGAGATCTGTGCAGGAGAATCCCCTTATCATTATATATCACTTTATAATAATGTATACATTAATAACTGTATGATTTGTTGGTAATCAGAGAAATGATAACATAAGTAACAAGTATTTAAATAAGTTCATTCAGTATGTTTGTGTGTTCGTATTGCAGTACATCTCCAAGAGCGTCCCAACGACAGAGTGTGTGATCAGCCACGGAGCTGAGGGTGCAGGAAACTACGCAGGCAGCAGAATGTCAACCCGCTCCCACCACTCAACCACTGCCTCACACGCTTCCAGGTAGACCTGCCACACACACACATCCAGATATATACACAGGCAATTATTGGAAAGCATTTCTCCCCAATTTTTCTTCCTATAGTTTCAGTTGTTTCCCGTTTTTATTGGGATTATCTCTCTCGATTCAGTTTTTGAGCACTTTTAAAGCTAGATAGTGGATCATCCAGAGTAACAGTACAATTGTTTCTGGAAAAACAATATTGAGCAAAATATCAATAATTCCCTCACCTATTGGGACTATTCTCTCATAACCTGAACCTGGTTTCCCCTAACATGTTTATTGTACTTCCCTTATGTTATAACATAACATCAGAGAACCATACAGTTACAATACAGTTTGAGAACAGAAGTAAGTATATTTTACTATACATACACAACTTCGCTGCTATAAAATAATCTACAAAAATGTAATAGCTATGTATTTGAGTCTTTTTAGACCAATACAATCTGAAAGCTCCGTTCAATTCAAAAGGTTTAGTGAGATTTATGTATGAAGTCCTCCAGTTTTATTCCAAGTACACATCATTTGACATTTAAACAGACTTTGTAATTAAACATCTCTGACTTCCTTGCAGAAGTTTTAAATCTTTGAACATTCCCTAATATATACCGAACTCAAAGGAGAAACATTTTGTGGATCACAGACCTGTACTTGGCAGATTGTATGAAATATTTAGATTTTTAAAGCTGAATTACAAAATGAGTCACCACTAGAGGGCAAAACATCACCTCTCAATGCAGTGAGCTCTGATATACATATATACATGTCAGGCTAACATGTCCTTTTTTACTCACACAAGAGTCTAACATTGTCTGTCAGTATCACCTTTGGCCCGCCAAATCCTGAAAAAACATAGGTCTGTCTTTGCCTTGTAGATGCTCGGACTGTTGTCACCAGCAACTTGTTTAGTTTGTGTTGTCTCTACTTCATGCTGGACAAATAGTTTACAATCCAGACATTTTTCTGAGAGTTAAAAAGTCTGGGGCTGAGGTCAGGGTAAGGCCAATAATTGATTGGGTGTTCCTGCTGTTCTGTCTGGAACACTAGTGCACTGCATTGTATGACTTTTGCATACATTACATTTCATCTTAAAATAATGCTTTGGACATCTGCCTGGCAGCTAAGGATTCTAAAAACGATGGCAACATTGTTGAAGAGCTGCGTTGAATTTGACCACATATATTGATTGAAATAACTAATTAGTATGCAGTTGATTCGATGTGTTTGGGGCGTCCCTTGTACCCCTTGAGCTGGTAGCCATTCTAAAAGTACCCCCTCACTCATCTGTGATAATTTCGTCTTTTTCTTTTTGTTAAACCCTTTGTTATCGTTTTTAACTACTCCTAAATGAAAATCACTTGAATAACTCACATTTAATACAAATGCATTTCAACTTGATATTTACACTTGTTGTCATGTAAAGAAATTATGTTAAGACTCACTACTTATTTAGGAAGCCAATAATGTATTTTTTTAGGAGAAGACTCCTCCCCTCTGAACAGTCACTTTTGTCCGTCATATTTGGAAACAAACATTGTTATTTTCTGTATTCATGTAAGACAAAAGTAATTTACTTATTTGGCGATGATTCACGCTATTTTTAGAATGCACCCTGCGGGCGAACAGGCACCTGCGTACCCTCTGCAATCCCCTCAAGTACCCCTAGGGGTCCCTGTACCCCCGGTTGGGAACCACTGGAGTACAGGTCTAGAGTACAGTCAAAAAAACACTTTTTTGTCACCTGAAGAGAAAGTGAAAGACTCCAGATGTGAGTTTTCTGAGTTATGGAAAACTTCATATTCACTATTGTTCCCAATTTGACAAATGTAGCACATAGAGTAACTCCTATCATTTATTTTTTCTAAAATAAAACAAAAACTCATTTTGTCAGTTAGTATTTCAGTAATGGCATAGGCCAACGTAACTCTTTGTTTTCTCTTTCCTGTTCGTAGAATTTTTTTATGGCTACAGCCTTGAATGCCTACGCCAGGCAACGCCACTACAATCATTTAAGTTGAACTGATGGACATTGTTTGTCAATGGGATCTGCAGTAATAAGAGCCCTGTAATGTATATTTGTAATTAAAATCATCACTTTCTGGTTCTTCCATATAAAATTCATTTGAACAGTTTTGCAGTATAGTATATTTACCTTCTCTTTATCCTACTTTCCCTCACTGCTGTTGTAACCTTTTAAACTTGTTCTGCTAACACCCACACCTGCAGACACGAGGAGCAGACGTGGAGCATGGAGCGAACAGAGAGTATGAACTCAGACTGCCAGTCAGGAGGGCTGTCCAGCTCTGTGGGAACCAGTAAGTGCAGCAGCCCGGCATGCATGGCGAGGAGGGCCACCCACTGGGGCTGCGGGGATATGTCCGGGCCAGGAATGCAGTACGGGGATTCCTACGATTCTCTAAGAGACTCACCTCACAGTGACAGGTAGGGAAGGTGCTAATGTGTGAGTGTATGTTTGTATTACTGACATTATTTTGGGGCCACCATGTGAGTCCCCATGTACATCATTACGTTTTATGGCGAAAACTTACTTTTAGATTAGGGTAAGATTAAGTTTAGGTTAAGATAGGGGACTACAAATGCCAAAAGGCATTTAAAAAGAGTGTTCAAACTAAGAAAGAGGAAAAGCAGCAGTTAAAGTTTGGTGTCGTCTGAAGGAATGGAAACGTGAATGTGCCTGTATGTGTGCCTGTGAGAGTGTCTAGTTTAAGTCTTTAAGTCTTTGTTCATGACTTCAACACTTGACATTTAATTTTTCACACTAGCCTTGTTATTCTTTGGTGCCCCCCAGTGGTTGTCATGAATGTTTCAATGTCAAGGACTTCATCGCCCAGATACTGAACTGTATACTGTACTGTGATCGTAAAAGACTGTTGTTGAGGCAGTGAAGGTAAGGAAAAATACAATGAATTAAGAGGCGCTGGGTTATTTAAACAATATTATCAAGTGTGTATTACGAACATGAAATCTATAGTTCATTTTTGAAATAATGCGATTATTGTAACTACACTTATATGCGACACACTACTTACAATAGTACAGTTTATTAATATTGAAAACATATATTCTATCTATTTTGACCATAAATAAACTCTGTGTTAAAGGTCCCAGGTCATGGCCATTTCCACTGATCATAATTCCATTGTTGAGGTCTACTAGAATAGATTTATATTGTGCAATTTTCCAAACTCACATTATTTTTTCATACAGCATCTCTGTATAGTATGTGTATTCACTCTCTGTCCTAAATGGCTTGTTGGAGCTCCTGCCCCCCCTCCCTGTGAGCCCACTGTGCTCTGATTGGTCAGCTCGCCCACTCTGTTCTGATGAGTCCACCACCGTTATAGCGGAACATCAGTGATTATGTGTTACAATGGCGTTAGCAACCAGAAAATGACACCAGTAATGACAAACAGATGAGAATGCTGAGTGGGGTCTGCGAGACAGCGAGACATCGCGAATGGACGCGGGAAGGGGGGGAGGCTGAGGGGGCTGCAGCACCCCCATCTGCGAGGCTCCACTAGCACCCGCACCCCCAAACCCGACACACCTACAGTGTAAGCGCGCCACCATTTTTACGCTGCAAGGCTCCACTAGCAAAAAATGTAAACATTGAACTCATCACAAAACGTTTTTATTGAGGATCTCAACTAACTGCAAAAAATCCCAAACTGCAATATCACCTTGTTTCCGATGTGTTTATTGTTAAAAAGTAATAGTTGGAGCAAGTTGACATTGAAATGTCAAATAATAATATATTGTTCACTGCATCCCTAATAAATCTAAATCATCTGGTGTAAAAACGTGTATTAGAGTTGGATTAATTGGGATCTCTTCTGGGGGGAAAGTCCTGCAGGTCAGATGGACTGTAAACACTTAATAGCATGTATATGTTGTGGTTTGTCTGTGTATGTGTGTTAGCACTGTGAGTGACTGGTGACCTGTCCAGGGTGTACAACTTCCTCTTGCCCAGTGCATGCTGGGTAGTCTCCTGCCCTCTGGCCCTGAAGAAGAGAAGTGGTTTAGAAAACAGATGGATGAAACTCTCTGACAGAATGTTTGATACTGACGGGCCGCTGCTATCAGTCCATGCCACAAAGTGTGTCTGCATCCTATATCCAAATTGTGTACCCTAGGCCTAGGGATGCGACTATTAAGGATATTATCACGGATTCACGTTTATTGGGATAATTGTGAATATCCTCAAAAACCTGTCTATCTTACTATCATTGCAAAGTAGAAAAAGGAAGAGACAGGGTTAGGTTATTAAAACACCCAAAATATTAGGTAAGAAAAAACACACTTTAATCTATTTGTCTATCTATCGGCTAATTGCTAGTTTGAGTAGACCTTGTCACAGCAGTAGCAAAACAAGATGAGACTTAGACACAGCAATAATTTTCTGTTATCTTTCCTGCCCAGGTATGTGTCGGCGCTGACCACGCCAGCACGCCTGTCTCCGGTGGAGTTCCACTATCCCCCGTTGCCGCCCCAGGTGCCCACCTTCCAGATCACCTCGCCCAACACAGGCCACGCCCTCTCGCTCCCCCCCGCCGCTGCAGCCTACCACAGAGAGGATGACCAGCCGCTGCTACGATGCCCAGATGTACGTATAGGCACAGAGGAGTAAACCAGTCATGCTTTAGATACTTGCTAGTATTGATGTAAATTAAGTACATTTACTTTAATACTGTACACTTCTTAGGTAAGGTTATGGAATGCAGGACGTTTAAGAGTATTTATACACTATCTTCCACCACCCTCTTGTTAGTAGGATGATAGGAAGATATTTAACTTAAGCAGTTTCTATAATTGATCTGTTTTCTGTTTCAGGATGGAAGTTTATACAGGCAGCCTCGGCGTCCGAGGCGACCTTACCTGACGGAGAGTACAGGAAGTCTACCGTCGAGCCCCTATCGACTCCCTGACGAGGAGGCCTACGAGACCACGCAGGAGTACGCCTCTTCGCGAGAACCCATCCGCAGCCGGCGCCGCCCGCGACGTAACCGCCTCAACGGACACATCTCGCAGCGTTCCACAGGCCTACGGGACTATAGCTCGCAGAGCTTCAGCCAGTCAGAGGAGGAGGATGAAGAGGAGGAGGAGGAGGAGGACACTCACGGGGAGAGCACACCTTTCCTTAGTATGCAGAACATGAACATGGACCCACCCTTAACCGTGCCGGGTTACCGCTCGTCCTCTGGTGCGGACACACGGACTCACCGCGGGCTGAGTCGGCCGGGGACGCGCAGCAACGGGCAAAGCCGCGGTGCCCAGTCGCACCGCTCCAAGGCTGACAACATGCCCCTTTAAGACTCAACCCCCCCCTGCCACCACCCACCCCTCCACCTCACACACTCCCCCTCCTCCTACACACAACCAGTGGACTAGAGACCTGCACCTAGGAGAAATATTTTTATTTTGTATAACAGACAGATATTCTAAACAAATGAAATATTTATTTTCATTTCAGCAAAAATTGTCTACTAGCTAACAGCAAAGACTTTTTTTATAACGGGGGGGAAATATTTATATGTAAAGTTTTTTGATTTACAGCATTATGAGAGATGAAAAAATAAGAGAATTACGTGCCAATTTTTTCACAAGTTAGATAAATAGAATAATATTGTGGTGCCTTTTGCTGTATGCTGAAGTCGGAGGTCCCATTGAGTTTTTGTAGCCTTTCTTATAAAGACTCCTCGTTTTTTATAGAGACCAACCCTCTTCCTCTTCCTTTTGCTTTGGTTTTTTCTCTGATTTGGGATCTTCCTCTTTTTTGAACTGTGATCTGATTATGTCATCATGCAATATTGATTCCTCCTGTGTTAAAGGTGTCTGTTTACATGAGTATGATCCACGCGATGCGCTCGTTCCACAGGGACATTAGTCACTGACGCAACCGGAAGTGAAGGGTAGTTTTTCTCGGATGATTTTCGGATGAATCCCATCGGCCATTCATGTTCTTGTTCGCTGCCTGTCAGTCATTTGTTGTTATTTCTGTGAAAACAAGAGTGTTAGGGAGTTGTTGAGGGGAAGTAATTTCAGATTCCTGTGTAGGTGTTCAGGGTGCTGCCATGACATTGGTGGTGGATGATGTGCGTGTGTGTTTGTGTGCCTGTATGTACATGAAGCCTCATTTGGTTGAGGCCTCACCTTGGAAAGTGTTTGCTCCTGTCACCAATCCTCACGCTGCCAGAAGCTCCATTGCACTGTAAGACCCTCCCTCCGTGAGCAGCCATTGGCCAGGGAGCTGCCAATCCAAACCTAACCAATCCAGTTGTAATCCAGCCTGACTCTGGCCTCCCATGGACTGCCCAGCCCACCCGTTTCCTATGCCAGCAGCTTAGAGCCGCACTGTGTCTCAGGACTTCCCCATCACATCACCGCCAAGAGACTCAAAGCAGAGAGCGCACGTCCATCCCAGTCACAGTTCAGTCCGCAGGCCAGATCCACATCCCCTCACTCTACTTCCTGTCCGTCCGTCCGTCAGGTTTTTTTGCGTTCACTCGTGGCCACGATTAAAGGAGCGTAGGATTTAAAAAAATAATAACTCTTGGAATCAGAAGGGAGATTCAGTTTTTTACTTTGTGTGTGTGTGTAAGTGGGCATGTGTGTTGCTGATGATGAAAAAAGATGCAGAAAACTCATCTGTTCACTAGGTTCTAGGGGCGTAGCTAGGAATTATGGGCCCCTTGAGAGGAGGATATTGCTCTGGGTCCCCTTTTTTTGTTTTACTTATACAAAGCTACTACTTTTTGAGCTCTCTCTAGCTGTGGGCGCCATGGAATCGCCTCCACCTTTCACCCCCTGCAGCGACGGCACTGCTCTGACGGGAAAAAGCGGGTAGAGAGCTAGTTTTTTTCTGAGACCAATTTTACTTTTTGTTTAGCTCACAGCCAAACGGTGGTATATGATAATACTGATTTCTGCATTTTGCATTCCTATATCTTTTATTGATTGAACTTCTTTTGCTTGGTCATATTGACTGAATGATCTGTTATCTGTCTGTCTCTGTCTGTCCCCCCTCCACCTCGCATCGCCACTCGCCTCTCCACGTCTTTCTCACCCGCCTTACAGACCTTCAGAAGCAACTAGCAGATGAGTTTAGGCCCCATGCTGAACAGCACAGTAACAGTAGGCTGATTACATCAGAATCTCCACCTCCGGGTTTAGACATCCTTTCAAGCTCACTAAGGATAGTGAAACTGTGTCAGATACAATACGTGTCCCTATTAGAGTTCATTTCCAATTTATTTTGTTGTTTTCTTTTTTCACACAGGAGATGCATGGATCACAGATAATGAAATTATCTTAAAAATGGCGACCAACCCCTCAGGGGAAATCATGCTAGACATTTATATTTAAAAAAAAACATTATTTGGGTTCACGACCCAAAGTTCTGGCTAGTTTTGTCTTACTATCACTGTAATCAATCTGGGATTTGCAATGTGGAAATAGTGCAAGTGAGGGTAGTGTGCTTCTAGAGCTAGTTGAATTGTTAACACCCCCCACCCTCTTTCTCCTCCCCCTGCACTCCCCCCTTTGCCCCCTTTACATGCACACATACATACCACACACCAGACACGGCTCACACATTATGAAGCACACACTGAGACACGCACACACACACACACACACACACACACACACACACACACACACACACACACACACACACACATACACACTCATATGACACACACACAAAGCCTTTACCACGTTTGTGTTTGTCAAGAAGTTTGCCTTTGTCTTTTTTACCTCCCGACTCCCTCTCTCCTCCCTCCTCTCCCCCCCCAAACCCCTCTCCTATCACGCCCGACCCCTCTGCATGTCCTAGTGGTACTGGTAGTTGGGTGCATGGAAAAAGCAGCAAGCAAATCGTTTTTCCACTCGGTGAAAAAAATAAAAAATGTGTCTTCATTTTAACATTCAGCAATAAATCCCCTTTCTCTTCATGTCCATCATTTCTTGGAATATGCTAGAAGATTTTTTGCAAGTTTTATCAAAAACATACTACTTGTAAAAGAAGAAAAATCCAAAACCACCCCTTCATATGAAAAATAAAACTTTATTCCTACCATTTTGGAAAAGTCCTGTCATCTTTGTAACTAAAAACAACTGAAATGTGTTGTTTTTAATTTACAGTGGTTTAGAATCTGCTCTGTTTTATAAAGAAGGAATAAAGGCACGAAGCCAGTGCACCAAGTGCGGGGTTGCAATGATATGACCAACAGATGGCTGTTCTTTCAACAATCACCTCCTCTTTAATTAACGTGCCATCAACTGGAACCTTCTGTAAGATAGAAGCAAAAAAACGAAATTTAGATTAAATCCAATCGATTGTTTTACTTTTGCGAATACTATCACACTGTCAAGTCTTACTTGTTTAACAGCATTTTAGCATCACCAGTGCCTTTCCTGTTAAAATGTGTTAAATTGTCCAAAAATGAGATTATAAATAGTCAGGTTTTAGTGAAAATGCATGTGATTAGGAAGTGAGATTTGTATTTTACTGTTTTAATCTAGTTTTGGTATGTTTACTCATCAAGACTTTTATTTTCTTTACCTAATTCTCCTTTCATAAAGTGCATATAGAATTCAAGGTAAGACATGATCAGTTATTGAAAAAAAGGTAATTTCTAGGGTGAAGAACTAAGAACAAATGGATAATGTGTTTTTTCAAAAAGACGTGCAAAGGTATTAACAGACGTGATAAAAGTAATAACATTTGTATAGCTTCTCAAACTCAATCTGATGGTCGTCTTTCAACCAGATGGTCGTGGGTTCGATCCCAGCCCCTTCAGTCACATGTGGATGTATCCTTTGGCAAGATACTTAACTCTGAGTGGCTCCTGGTGGCATGGTGAACAATATCTGAATGTGTGTGAGTGTTAGCTTTACGTTTGGTACCAATAAGAACACTGGTGTAAAAAACAGAGGAACACATATTTGAACACATATTTGGTTGCTTGCCAAATTACTTCACTCAACACCTGAGCTAACATCATCAACCCAAACTCAACTTGTGTAAACACACACACACACACACACACACACACACACACACACACACACACACACACACACACACACACACACACACACACACACACACACACACACCGATAATTGACACCGATACACCAGTTTAAAGTAACGATTTTGATATTACTCAGCAACAAAAACACAACTTGATGAATCTTGCCCTGCTAATCTCTCTATTGTTATTCTGCCTTTTCGGACCCGTCTGCCACAAGCTATTTATACAAATACTCACAGCAGGTTTTCTGTGCTTTTCAAGCTCACTGATTCATGGGATTGGGATTCATTGCTTTCCTAAAAGTGATGACACATAAGTTTCAGAATACCAGACATGCAGGCATTTAAGGCACATGACTGCAATAATTAGGGGGCAGGTCCCTTGTCAGCAGCTAGACCTGTTTTATTGCTCCACAGTACCGTTCAAAGAAGTAGATGGGGTTTTAGTATCGTCCGTTTGCATTGCTTTACAGTATGGTGCCTACTTACTTACTGATAAGGTGTCTATGGAGATAAGCTTGCATAATGAGTGACGTTATTTTAAAAAATAAAATGGTTGTCATATTCTATTCCTTATAATCTTAAAATGTCTATTTGAAGTAATTTTTCTGTTGTTTTGTTCGGTTGTAATTTTGTCTAGTATCCTGATTTGGAATTGTCTCTCAAAGCACTTTCTAAACTGTGTTGAAAGTGCTATATAAATCAAGTTATATTAACAGTAATCCAACTTTATTCAGATGTTTTTATGACATCCTGATGTGGAATCAATTACACAGGAATAGCGAACAACACATAAAGACAGATATAAAAAACATAAAACATGTAATTCAATTATAAAATAAATACCAGATAATAATAATAATAATAATAATGTTACAAAAATGCTGAAATTATTATTATTTATTTTCTGTTACTTCACAACACAAGATGTAATTAAACTACGCCATTTTTGGTAAATTTATTGAAATCGGGGCGACAGCAGCAAAAAACAAAAGTGTATTTGTTTTACAATTTACTTCTACGTATTGATTTGCGTTGGCCATTGTTGGATGGCTTAACCCAATTCCACTCATCACCTGTGCGTCATTCCTGCTTGCTCACTTTGTCAATGGGTGTATCCCTGCCTCATGCGCACACCTTACCTGTTAGTGTCTTCTTGGTAGTAGGCATTTGCAGAATTACGTTACTTTTGTGAGGTACAGCAGTCTAATGTATGGGCTGGACAGATGACCTGACTGATGACAGAAACCAGAAAAGAGAAATAATGTTGACTCAACATTAGGGAGACTTCCATCTTGTGAGAAAATAAGTATATAGTAATTTTTGGAGTCTTCACCTAAGGCAGGTAAGCAAATAAAACAGCTGACTCTTCATTTATATTAGCCCTTATGTTGTGTTCGGATCTCCCGTGACCCGTTTCAAGTTAAAATTATATAATAACTACGCTCTAGTTTTTTTTATCGCAACAAGGCTTCATGATATCCTCCACAACAGCTATATAAACACTACAAAACAGATTTGGCAATTTTAGCCAAGTCTGAAGGTCAAATTTGGGCCAATCGAGATTCATCTTTGAATTTAGACATTTCACATGACATTTTGGAGATAGTTTTTTCAACTTTCAATAGCCTTTATCTCCCTCATGGTTTTTTTTCTGTCCATGTACAACTGTGGGCTTCAATGTTTCATTAACTTAGGACTTAGTGTTCTTTTTATAAGGTCCATACTTGAACTTAGGGTTTCTACTTGAACATGTTTACATGTTTTAATGTTGAAAAAACCTGAATTATTTATTAATATGCTATGACCAAGTATACCTGTATTCACCCTCTGACCTAAAAGGATTGATTTAGGCAACTTGTATCCTAAAGCAAAGTCAAAAGCATCAGTGTGTGGAAATTCTCAGATAGGGGGCAAATATTTTAGTGACATGGGAAGGGGAGCCATATCTTAATGTCTTATTAAACGCCATGTTTTCTCACAACAGACATGACAAAAAAAAACGAAGTTAGTTGTCTTAACTCACAGTCTGTCTCCAGATACCCAAATGTTTGTGCACAAGCCCACAAGTCCTTTCAATGTATTTTGATACTCAAAAACATGTATTTTTTTTTTCGAACATTCTTTTTACTGTATATGTTTGCAGTTAAATGGCAAGGTGCTTCTGTTGTTAGCGCAGAGTGTTGATCTGTGTTTGCACACCATTCATCTCCCTGGCACTGCTGCTATTCCTCATCATGGTCATGTTGTGCAAGGCCATGGAGTCAGGTATCCCAAATCCTCACTTTGTTGCCCCGGGAAATCTTAAGAATGAAGGCTTCGACCCACTGCCCAAAACGTTCTGGGTTACCAGCCTGCATGGTCAAGCCATATGGAACCGCCTCCAGCTGACAAACGATCATCGTTTCAACCCCATCCTCCACCCCAAAAAACTCACGAGGCGATTTGAAAATGGTAACTTTAATGAAGCCATACTGAAGAATGTTTACTCTGAAGTTACTGAAATCAAACACAAACTACGACAAGCTACCACAGCAGATATAAGATTTTGTGAGCCATATGCAAAGAAGAGACTACCCTTTGCTCCTCCAGCCTGATGGAGTATGTGGAGCCGGGGCAAAGGATGAGAAGGAGCCCCCTCTTCTTCTTCTGGCCATTAAGTCAACAGAACTGAATTTTAAGAACCGACATGTCATTCGACAGACATTGGGCCAGGGAGGATGGGTAGCTGGACAGAAGAGAAACAACAATGGTGTAGGGTACGTCCGCAGGGTCTTTTTGCTGGGCAAGGAAAATACTGAGGAGTTGGGTTTGGATCTATCTGAGATACTGCAGATGGAGAGTAAACTTCATGGAGACATTCTGCAGTGGGACTTTAGTGACACATTTTTCAACCTCACCTTGAAAGATGTACTGTTCTGGAGCTGGTTCTCAAGCTTGTGCGGCCAGACTAGCTTTGTGTTTAAAGGGGATGAAGATGTCTTTGTCAACACCCCAAATATGTTGAGCTACCTAAAAGGTGAGCTAAAGAAGCCACAAGCACACGAGTCAATGAAAGGCTTTATGGTTGGCAATGTCATAATTAGAGCTTTACCCAACCGAGTCAACAAGTCTAAGTACTATGTCCCAGAAAGCTTCTACAAGGGCCAGTATCCTTTGTACGCAGGTGGTGGAGGGGTGGTGTACTCAGGCCTATTGGCCAAACGCCTACATGATGTGTCTAAAAGGGTCCACCTGTTCCCCATTGATGACGTTTATGTGGGAATGTGTATGGCTAGGCTAAATGCTGGTCCGGTCCACCACCCTGCCTTCCTTACTTTTGATTTTACCGGAAACGATGAAGACCAACTGTGTTCGTATCATGGAATCCTGTTGGTCCACAGATGTCTCCCCAACCAAGTATTAAAACTGTGGGCCAACATGAAAAAAACCGAGGCACAGTGTTGGGGTGTGCCCCTGAGAGGAGGGACAAGAAGAAACACAACACTGTAAGCAAACCCCAAGTTACTTTAAAGATTCACTAGAATTGTTGTTCAGCTGTCAGTCATAAAGAGGTGACACTGTATTACGCTGTATTTATTTTCTGCAGGCATCCATGTTCTGGGATTATATTTCATTATCTTAAACACTGTGAAAATCCTGGGGTCCATCGACATACCAACAGACTGACCAAAAATACATAATTATTGTTTGAACATTCATTTCAGATAAGAAATATAATATGAAATACAAATTATTAATATTCTTATACAAATAATTGATTTTAACTTGTAAAGCATTACCATTCACATTATGTCTTTTTTTAAGTTTAGCCAAAGCTTGATAACATTAGCTACATTAGCCAAAGTATGCACATGGGAGAAGTTAGCCTTTCTGTCAAAAGGGTTTAGCCAACAAAACGATTTGGTCGAATGTAAAGAATCAAAACCATTACATATCATGGTTTGGGTTAAATTAGACCCTTTCTGGCAGAATGCACTGATGGCTAACTTCTGCCATTAGCCCACCTTAAACTAGTGGTCATATAAGACAATGTGAGGTTGAAGTAGCAAAACATTCAAGTGAGCAATAACGTTTTTGTGTCCTGTGAATTCATATTTCTGGTTAGCAGAACAATATGTTATTATTTCCTCAAAAATGTACATACAGAAGTCTTGTTTTAAGGGCTAGTAAAATATCACTTCTATTTATCTAACAATTGTAATTGTATATATATATATATATATATATATATGTCATGTCATACATTGTTTTACTTTCACTATTTATGTGTAATGATCCCTCCTTTGTTTTGCTATGTATCATCTTTATTTTATCTTATGTATGTACAAAAAGTATGCTCAATGTAACTATGTTAATTAAACCACTGCTGGGATCATTTGAGTGGTTTAGCCAGATCTGCAGAATGTTTATGTCATCTGAACTGCAGCTGGTGTAGCTCCTTTAGCTTTCACTGATTTATAAGTGAAATGTCTGGCTCCATTCCAGTTACGCTTCGTAGAAAGAGAACTGTGAAGCCAATGTGATGTATGACTAAAATACATTCTTGTTTATTCCTTTATTTCCTGTCCTTTCTTATCCCAATATTAAATTCACCCAGTAGACTTATTTTCTTTCTGTTTAGCTAACGTTTGCTAACAATCTACATTAGCCAAAGTTAGCTAACATTAGCAAACCAGCGCTATAAAAAGTAATTCTGTAGTACAAACAATTGTAAAAGTGACGTGCTGATATGAGAGCAAAACGTCGAAACTAGTAAACCCGCTATTTGGAAGCCTTTGAAGAAACCTTAAAGGTGTATTTCTTTGTGACATGGAAGTTATCACTACATGGACAATCACTGTGACAAATGACATGCTGTCTTCAAATGGAGTCTATTCTTATCATGGAGCAGGCAGCTCAATATCAGTGAAACCAATGAGCTTGTGGGGGACTTCTTGATGATCATTGAGAGAATCATTGAAGTGAAATTCCTTATATCAGCAAGTAGGTAAGGTATGTAAACAGAGATAAGGCACAAAGCACTAGCACAGCTATTAGGTACAGAAAGCTGACACAAGGCCTGTTTGAATGTAAACTATTTCGATCTTACTGTGCTTGTGACAAAGTAAATCCCAAAGTCTATCAGGTGCATTTGTTAGAGAACTAAATCAATAAAAGAGCACTAACACTCCAGCTAGTCATAAACATATCCGTGGTTAGAGGACCTGTGGAACTGGAAAAGGTGTTTATTTTATCACTCCACCCCGACTTCTAAACCAACACCTACATTTGGTCAACCTGCCAATTTTTGATTTGTTTGTTTTTAAACTATTTAATATGTCCTTTAAAGAAAGGATGAGTCATTATCTCACAGTATGGCCAAAGCATGACGGTTAACAATGCTTCAAAATATGAATGTCTAAAGACATACACACACACCCATCACCCAAGATTATTGACACAAATTCAGTTTCCATCCAGTTGTGAGATATGGTGTCAATCTCTCCTTCTTGGCTAGAAAAGTGTTTTTGCAAAATATTATAACGTCACAGTGAGGTTAACCTATTGGATATAAAATGTCACTAATTTATCATTTCATCCTTTTAGACATTTGTATGAAATTTGCCTTTTCATTTTTGAGTTATGGCCAACTTGTTGTGCTGTTTACAGTGAGCTTGATCTTTGACCATCAACATGTAATAATTTTATCTTTTTTTAATGAAAACATGTTTAAAATCAATATATATATATATATATATATATTATATTGTCGAGATATTTCCAGTGGTATGAATTCATATAAATTGACTTTGGTATTGTAATTGGGTTAAAATGTGGGACTATCAAGTAACAGTCTGAATAACAGAGACTTAGAATATTAAATAATTATTTAGGGTCGAAGTTCTTCATCCACATCATGTTATTTCACAGCAGAAGGAGTGTCCTTATAATGCAAAATGATAATAATAATTTTGGATGTGAATTGTCATGCTTCAGGGGAAATGTTTCAAGAAGAGATAGTCATCTGAAATAAATAACATTCTTTACAAGGAGAAGATCTATTTCAAAACTTTCATTATTACACAAACCAAAATCAGAGACCGGGTAAGGAATGTCAGATGATGCACAAAGCGATCACAATGGCAGCTTATACAACAGCTTGAGGTCAACTCAAATTAATACAAAGAGCGGCAAAAGTCCAAACAATGGCCTCTTGAGGAGCGGCAAAACTGTAAGTGTGTTACACCTCACACACAACTCCTAAACAAACAGAATAACCATTCAAGTGTTCCGTCATTAGTTTTGAGTATTTAATTGTTGTGAGTGTCTAACAGTCTCATTTTGTCCTATGCGGTATGAATCGATGAACAGTTTACATATACATTATCCTGCATAAGAACATTATGAGCTGTTATATTGGTGAACAAGTAAAGGCAGCACTAGAGGTCATTTTCAGTAAGACACTGAAAGTACAGTAGAAAGTGATCATTAAGTAATACAGCATTCTTTTTCAATTTCAGGTCAAGTTTGATATTGCATATTTTCTTAAAGCATATAACCGGCAAAACTTATTTCGTTCCATCAAAAGATCAGTGTGTGGATTTGATTCCCCTATGTATTAAATGTTGGGTTCTTGAACCCTTCACAAACGCAGCACAATCTACTGCTTCTTCAGCCATGTGGATTCTTGAACCAAGTTAAGACTGCCACTTCAACACGCAAAAGGAAAGTTCGAAAACACAATTCTTAGTTTTAGGTGATTATACACTCTGGAAAACAGTTATGAATATTATAATTATTTTCTGCTCTACATTCTTGACACTGGTCCTTTAAATACAAGTCCGTTCAATGATGCGTCAACAACAGGCTACCTAGAGCGAGCAGTTGCATGAGGATCGAGGTTTCAGATCATCATCACTTAGTCAGCGATATCAGCAGGGTGCTGACTCATGATTTCTTTTACAGCTCTCGTTGGCTCTCCTGATTGTCCGTGTCCTCCTCATCTCTGCCACTACGAACCATTTTCTGTCCTTTTCTCTTTGCCATCTTCTTCTTCCTCATCACTGTCCTCCTCCTCGCTCTCAATGTACTGGTAGTTATTGCGGTTGGTGTTTACAAAAAGGTCGCTCTCGTCATCCTCAGAGTCACTAAAGTCTTCTTCGTCTTTATCCTCCGTGTCCTCTCTCTTTTCCTGCCCTTTTTTTATCTTTTCCGGCTCCAGTGGCTCCTCTGTGAATCCCTCCGGCCTGAAGGCAGTAAAGGAAACACAAAACAACTCAGTTACTCTTGACAAACTGATTGGTTGTGCGTGTGCGTGTGCGTGTGTGTGTGTGTGTGTGTGTGTGTGTGTTCCCACTTACCAGAGCTGCTGTTTCTGCAGGTTCTGAATGTGATCTTTGTAGAGAATGAAGCTGATCTCTGCCTTCACCTTCTCTCCTTCCTCAATGGGATCCACTATCACATAGTCTCCTTGGAGATTAGAAACATATATGAAATATGAACCAAAAAATAAATCTCATTAAAAATAGAATGAAAGAGATTTTTCTTTTGAGCCTGTATAATTCCTACCCACGCTAGTGACTGATATTGCACATTTAGTTTGGATTTTATATCAATATCTATTCTCTTGTAAAAGCCCTAATTACAAAACAGCATTTTTTTAAAAAGCCACAGACAACACAGGTAAAGACATTGTGTTAGCATATATAAGCTACAGGGGATTCTCTAGAAAAATAAAGTATAGATGAGAGCAACACTAACGTCACTTCCAGGTGAAATGAAGGCCCCATGTCTTAAAGCTGTATATTTTGCACCTCAAACAACACAAATCCCAAGTTACGGTTTCTTTACTACCTCTACAGAAAAAAAGAAACGATATAATTCAGAAATCACAGTACAAGTGTTAGCCCGGTTTAGACAAAACCCTGTATACCCATTGTTTAGCTACATACAGGATAAAAACTTTACAAATCCTTATGATATTGCAGGATTTTGAAATAGATCTATGAATTGCTATTAACAATATCGAGCAGTTACTTTATGAGTGGATCACATCACAACAGCTTTTTGAGCTTTTTTGATGACTGAGCTCTGTAATGATCTATATTTTCAATCTAAACATCCATCACTTACCTTAGTCTAATATAGCTAAGAAACCGTTTTTATTGGCTCAACAGTTGACAGTAAAATATATATAGTAAAGCTAGGGTATAATACTAGAGTATAGCCTTATTGCGTTTGTCCTAATTTTTCAGTGTTCATAGTGCAAGCTCATTTTGATTTTGTTCAGAACCCAACATTACACTCAACTCATTTGGTTATTGCTGTAACTTTAATCATGAAACACACGTCACATATATATTCAATTCAATGTGTGTTGAGTTCGTTATTAGCAGTTTATTAGTGTAGATGTTATGCCACCCTTGCTGTAGTATTGTAAGTAAGGGTGCCTGTGAGACACATAAATTCTCTTCTGTGTCTTTTGCTCAAGTGTTTGTGAACCCCGGACTTACCTCTCTTGATCCAGAGGTTCTTGCGGAACTTGGGGGGCATGCTCACCAGGAACGTCACGCCCTGCGCCGTGACAGCTTCATGGAGGTTGTTACCACGGCTACCAGTAACCTACCCATGGCAAAGGAGGGAGACAGAGTGAGGATAGGGTCTTGCATCGATGAGGGTGGTTATTTACAGTCAGTGCGTTAAATCCAAAGCAGTCTTCACACAGTTCACCTTCACTATCTGCTGGTTCTCTGTGGGAGTGACAAAGTCTCCAAGAACTTCCTTCACAACATGCTTGCGTTTGGTGGCCTGTGACATTATCAAAGGTGAACTTCAGGTTCCTCCACCAGCTGAGAAAAAGAGAGTTTCAAGTAATGGGTAGCATTAATTCATCATTATGATATATTCTTATAAGTTAAGCAACCCAGTAGTATATAAAGTAATTCAAATAAACCCAACGTTTACCACGTTTCACTAAGTGCATCATTGGAAGTTATATCATTTAGAAATAGAATATAAATAATTATAATTCAAACATGTGTAATATGTGGTGCTTAAATGGGCCATTCTGCATAATGAGTACTTTCACATTTGGTACTGAAAGTATATTTTGATGGTAGTACTTTTACAATTGTAAAAAGCAGTAGGCCTACACTGAAGTATTACTTCTACTTAAGTAAATCGTCTGAGAACTTCTTCCACCTCAGGTTAAGTAGACAAACTATAACAGGAGGTTTGACTAACAGCAATATAAAAAATGAAAACTGACAAGGTAACATGAAAACAAGCTAAGCTCACACAAACTAGACACCGGTTAGCTTGGCAGCTGTTAACCGCTGCGATTTCAATGATGGACGAATAACAACACTTCATATTCCCTTAACTTTTTGTGGCAGCTGCTAAGCGTAACGTAAGAAAAAATATGTTTTCCTACTTTACTAATAACAGAACTAGTGCCTTATGAGAGTAAGCTAACATTAGCTATCTCAAAATATAGCTCAGGTTCGATAGCAGGTTACATAAATACCTTGAAAGAAAGAAAAGAGTAATTGTGTCTCTGTAAGGAAGGCAGTGTTTAAAGGCAGCTCGACAGCAGCTGAGAATCACTTTTGAATCACGTAGAGATGAATGTATCTGTAACTTAAAGCCGAGCCACATGCGTTTGTTTTCTTGCTTCACTGAATGTTACACTTCCGGTGTCAAGCTCTCCCCTTTCAAAATAAAGGTATGCAATTAGAATTACACTTGGACTTTCAGATAAAAGCCAATCAATACAAAAATACATTCATTTGTTATTACCTTTCTGACTAATAGTAACTAATAAGATCAGATAATTGTTCAAAAAAGATGGGGGGTCTATTTCTTCCGTTGCAGTGCTTTTGCATTGTGAGAAATAGAGTTTTGTTTTTTTCTCAGTTTGTGGAACATTCAAGATCAATAGCATTCAGGTTAAGAGATAAGAGATAAGATAAGATGGTACTTTATTGATCCCAATATGGGAAATTGTTTTTGTTGCAGCAACATAAAAGACAAGGCATTTTACAATAAAACAAAACTACAAATAAACAAGAATAGAAAGAAAATCAAATAGAAAATATACATGTTGAAATAGAAAAATATACATGTAGATATTACAAACTGTTCTCACACAACTCTCAAGGTAAAAATGTTTCTTTGTGAATTTCAAATGTTATCTATTTTGTACTTACATTGGCCAAATCCTTGTTAAATACAGAAGAAATCCACAAACACACGTATTCAACACAATCTTAGTGCATTTTTATATAATTTTCTCTACGAAAATGTGATCTTTGCAGTTTATGAATCAGGTTAATTATACAGTTTAATTCAATCACAGTAAAATGTGATGTTGTATTCGTTTGCATTATCAATTGATTCAAATGAAATGTGTGGTTCAAGTGCATATAGGAAAACAAAATTGTACACAAAGAATTGGATTCCACACTTTTTTATTCAACCTTCATTCAAGTGTGACTGTCTTACAGCAGTTTTTACAATTTCATTGCAGTTACGATCGGAGCATAATTATGTGCAGACCAATATATGGTAAAACTCCCATCTTTCAAAACTCCAGTACTAAATAGCATTAGCATGAGCACTGCATCAAAGAAACAATACAGAATACTAACTACAATATTGCACGCTCTTCATCAAACTAGAAATCAGTTACTGTGAGGAAAAATGAGTTAAAAACCAAAACTGCATACAACACAGCAACCACTATGACCTGCTGGGCAAACGGAATAAAATCTGCACAAATACTTTACTTTAAAAGAAGGATCAAAGTCCTAAGAAAAGCTAGCTTTATTAGAGCTGGTATACTTTTAGTAAACTGACACGAGGTGTGAGGTATGAGGTATGAGATATGAAGATGTGAGTTTGGTTTAACGGAAAAGTAACATCAGTAGGACTTTGTGTGTGAGTGTGTGTGTGTGTGTGCGTGTGTGTGTGTGTGTGTGTGTGTGTGTGTGTGTGTGTGTGTGTGTGTGTGTGTGTGTGTGTGTGTGTGGTTGTAATCATCATGTGTTTTTGATCAATTGCGTGTGAGTGTGTGTATATTGGGTGTTGGTGGTTTAGTTGACGACAGCAGATGAGCACATCTGGTTGATCCCACACGCATTGGACCCCCTGTAGAGGTAGTAGTAACCCTGTATGAGAAAAGAGAGAGAGAAAGAAATACACATGTAAAAAAACTCTCATTAGTTTTGTACAGCATCCCAAATCAAGAAATTCTGCCGATCATTAAATAAAAAAATCTGAATTTGGTTTCCAATTGCTATATTTCCAAAAATATTAAATAAATATTTTTTTATGTCAAAAACTCTGTCTCTAATCAACAAACAAAGACTTTAAGAAGGTGAGTTTGTCTTACCTGCTCTCCATAATCCTCTCCCCAGCTGTTTTTGATGGCCCAGAATGGGATATTTTTACCTGAAAACACAGACACTTTATAACACCAGTAGTAAGTGGGTATATGAGGACAAAAACGGAACAACAACTCTTACGTTCTCCGTATCCCACCATCAGCACAGCGTGGTCGATCATCCAGGAGTTGCAGAAGATCTTCATAGGGTGAGACACACCCTTCCTGTAGAACTGCGGGAATGTAAAAGACAAAATGAATTAAATGTGGTTGCATGTCGATGATCCCATAAGGTGCAATTTGACATTAAGTTATCTTCTGATGTATCATGTAGATAGAAGTGATGGCAGTGGTGGACAGAGCTGCTTACCTGCATGGCGAAGGCATTCAGTGCAACAGAGACGGGTCCATTCTCAGCCAGCCAAGCTGCAATGTCTGTAAACATATAATAAACACGTAGTCCATTTATTAGCTCTTTGTTACCTATTGTTACACAGCAAAATGATCAAGTAACAATAAATTAACCTGCTAAATCAACACCTACTCATTTGCACTTCCACTTATTTTAGTCATATTTTCATTTAACCTTTATCAATGCTTTGACCTAAGATACAAAATGAAAATGTCAGTAATTCTGATAATTAAGTTGACAGTACTTAAACATTTGTAAAGTGAAATAAACATGTGACAGGTAGAGTGTATTTAGTGTTTTATATAGATCTACTCTACACACACTTTTTCCCATTTCATGTCTACTTCTAGTTTTTTATTTTGTTTTGAAAAGATTTGATCCAAAATAAATGTTCTGAAACTTAGGTTCAGATTACTTCTCGACTGAGCTTTAAATAGAACTATTTTAGCCAACTAAATAGTATTTATTATAGGTTGCAAGTTTTCCTCCAGAACCCTCGACATAATTGTTTTGCCGTTTTCAGATGAATTGTTTTTAGGATATTCAAATATAAAATGGTGATTTTCTGAAGCCACAGACTGTATGTCGTTATTCCCTCTCTACAGGCTTAGCCCACTCACCCTTCTCGTCCTTGGACAGCTCCACAGAGCTGTTGATGTAGGCGGCCACCTTCATGCTGGTGAAGTCACAGCTCTGCTTCTTGCCGGTGTAGGAGTAGTCTGTCTCTGTCTCCAGGCCACCTAAACAACACATGCAGGGGAACAAAGTGAAAAGCTCGCACACAGTATTAGCATTAATCACAAGAACACTTCTGCAGGGTGTTTAGATTAGCCGTGGGATGGTGAAAACCTTTAATGTCCTGATTATTCTGACAATGAGAGTTATGATTCACAATGTTATTATTCATTCAAATGAGTGTCTTCTAAAAATGACATTAAACAACGTAAAATGAAGATCCATTTCAGTGTAAAACATCTTAAATATATATTTTCTTTTTTTCACCTTCACTACAATGACAGTTTATAGCTTAGACTAAACCATTAATGGAAATATATAAAGATATCAGGATTTTTTCTAGAAAAATACAGTATGACGGCAATATTGTGGCGCTGATTTTGTATATATATACAGTATAAATTATAGATATATCAATTATCGCGAGAACATGACGCCCGTCTACAAGATGGCGACGCAGACGTAAACAACAACAGGATGTTGGAGGCCCATAAAAACAAAGCTGTCTATGCCGTCTGACGGTCTGTTTGACAAAATGTTCCTATTTCTGGAGTAAATGTATTGTTTTGGACGAACAGAAATATGGTTTTCTGGCACCACTTTTACATTTTATGGGGAAAAACATCATTTTGGTATGAGAGCACGTGCCAAAAGTAAGAATGCGTAGCGCCCTTGTTACCTGGTTCAGACAAAACCCTGGATCCGATTATTCTTCGTGTTTTTTATCATGATTTGCAAATAAATCCTACATCGTCCCACCCCTAGCTATCAATAAAAAGCTTTCACTTCCAAAGTAAAAGTATTGGGTATTTGAAGCTTAAATATTTCATCTCAAGTCTTTCTTACCCAGCTTCTCTATAGCTTCGTAAGCGTTGGACGGCAGCCCTCCTTTGCACGCCTGGTCCAGCCCATCACAGTCAACCAGCTCTGAGAAGGAAAACCAAATAAACCAATCAAAACATGACCTATATCTCGTAATATAAGGAAAGATGTTTTTTTGAGAAGGAGCAAAATATAAAATGATTGTATCGTTTGTGTCTGTGCACATGTGTGTGTGTGTTACCTTGTTCAGAGAGGGACAGCAGCGTTCCATTTTTCAGGAACCACTGGCCTTCGATGTTGCCTGTCACAGAAAATGCCCAGCAGGATCCACACATACCCTGCGACACAAACAAACAGAAACACACACTCCAATCAGCAGGAAGTGGGCAGGAGGTGTAATGTATTCATGTTCCCCTGTTAATTAGGGGGACTCACCTATAATTAAACCTACCTGGTTCTTGATGGAACTGACAGCCCCGTGATCCCGCCAATCCCAGCTGGCAGGGGCGGGACCTCGGGCAGGAGGAGCCGGTTTCATTAGTCGGTGAAGATTCCATTGACTCAGTAGCGGGTTCAAGTATGCATACTGGAACTCTTCCTCTGAAGGAAAACAGAAGAAGAGCAGACACACTTTAGACACACACACACACACACACACACACACACACACACACACACACACACACACACACACACACACACACACGTACCAGTCAGGTCGCTGAACTTGGTGACTCCATACTCGGCTGAGCCTTGGTCTAAAGTCTGCAGCTTCTCAGCGGTCTTCAGGTTCTCGTGGAAGACAAACAGACGATAATCTGCCTCTGCAGGATCAAAAGGATTTGAAGAAATTCAAAGACTTTATTAGTCATACGCAGAACAGCTCTTGGCAATACAAAGTGTCAGTCTCCTCCACCAATGAAACATCGGTATGATTGAAAGATTTGGCCTTTAACAGTCAAACACTCTGGCCTGGTTATTTATATGGTGCATGTTATGTGACAGGTGTAAACACCCTGGGGCTTTGACAGGACACACAATTCTGGATGCAAAGCAACACATCAAATATCCTGTGAACCTCTCCTTTAGTCATTGTTTGAATGTGTTGGAGTCCTTTTAACTCCATTATAATAAACACATTTTTATACCAATAAACAAGAAATCCACAAACATGTTTAAGATGAAATCCAAGGTATAACTTCAGCCTCAAATGTCTATTTTCCAACAACCAGTTAGTCCTTATTTCATCTTTAATAGTTTTTTTATTATGTGCCACAGATTGAGATATAAACCCCTCCTTTGTCCACGCCATTTTTAAATGTCTTATTTGGTGAGATGCTTATAAGCCATTGGTACACAGGTGCTGAATGGATGTGGGATATTAAGCCTTATGTTTAGTCTTTCATTCTGGGGTTTTTATTGCTTCAAAGACTCAAAGGTTTTGTTTGTCATATGCACAAAGGCAACAGCATAGTTGTTGGCAATCAAAATCTAAAGTCCTGTTATATTTATTGTATAAGTGATATCATATTTTGGTCTTGTCAACCGTTGTCATGTCTCTCTGTCATTGAAAAGCATCTGTGATTACAGTTAGAAAGCTAATGATGTTTTGCTTTGTACATTATCTGTTTAGTCTTTCTACGAGTGGGCTGTGAGCACACAAAGGCGGCAGGTTGTGTAAACAGGAAGGAATATGCACATTGCAATGTTTGTGATGTATAATACATTAGTGTCCGTCCCTCACCCTCCTGGCTGCTGTAGTCCTTGTTGTATTTGACCATGAACTCTTTGAACTGGCCCAACAGCTCCACAGAGTCCTAGCAGATAAAGAGCAGACAAACAAACACACAGAATCAACGACACACCTTTTACCTCATCTCAAATCCCGCTGATGACAGTGAATGGACCACTTGAGTGATGAATTAAAAAAAAATTACATTTAGACATCACTATGAAACTTCCTCAATGTGTTACTTTTGTAAAGACAGTTATATTTTGAATTATACGTTTTTCGAAGCGTTATTTTTAGATATAAAAGGAATTATTATTAAATATGTGCTAATTTGCATACATTCCCATAATAGAAACATGAATATCAGATAAAGCCAGGATGAACCTTTTTGTTTATTTAGTCGACATATTACGGTATAATGTTGTGAGGAGGGCATTCAAGAAATGTTGTATAATTGTATCAGAAAATACTATCAACAGCCTTTAAACTAATCCATTTTCAGTATGTTTTTAGAAACTAAATGTTCTTTAAATCAGACTATAAAGGATTTAGATCTAATTCCTCTGTAAAATGTTTACCTCCAGAGGCTGGCTGGTTGATGCATCGACGATGTTGTTTGTCTCTTCTTGTTGAACTTCAACTGATGAGAAAGACATCAGGACATGTTATGAGTCAGTATGCAGAACATCTTAATTAATGTGTCAGAAAATACATGGATTCTAAATGAGTATGCACATTCAATTGTTTTACTGGGCTTTTTTTTTGATTGCTTGTAAATCATCAGTCAATGATGTATTCTTCATTAGATTATTTCTATTTTTTGTAATAATTTTCTTGAAATGTATATAAAATATGCACTTGACCTGATAACTATGTAATAAAACCCATGAATGTAATGACTTAATGAATATTGTATAGATAATGTTCTGATTTATATTGAAGTAACATTTCAGGTAGCAGATGTTGACATATTTTGAAGGATGATGTAATTTTTTTAAATAATTTTCTTAAAGGTCACATGTCATGGCAATTTCCACTGATCATAATTCCATTGTTGAGGTCTACTAAAATAGAAAAATACTGTGCAATTTTCCAAACTCACATTGGTTTCGCATACAGCATCTCTGTAAAGTATATTATTATATATATATTGTCAAAAGGCATAACACTATCGGTAAACATGTTTTGTACAACACCAGCCAGGACATTGCATTTTTTTACAACACCTTTGATCAGGTCAAGTGCAAACATTCATGAAATTTTTTAGGATTTTATAACATTATTGCGGGTCTAAAACACCATTTAAAAGATTATTTAACCACTTTTTAGAGCCACAGTTACCCTGGAATATACTGCTAATAAAACAGAGGAAGCAAAGCACCATGGGATAGTAGAAAGATAATATAGACAGCAGGCTAATAGTAAGTGCTGTTAACCCTGATGTCTTATGGTAAGAATAAAGGCAAGATACCGGTGCAGAGGAACCAGTCATTCATGTTGAACCACAGCTGTGTTATTCGGCTTTTATTAGACCAAAGCATGTGTTGACTGATCAATGTCAAAGGTCAAACTCACCTTTAGGCTGGCACTTCTGCTTGAGCAGAGTGGAAGTGCCCTGCCAGGGAATGTCCCACACTTCAAACAAACACACCTCCGTCTGACATAAACACGAAACATCACAAGACAGAGATATAAATGGTTAATTAACATGATAGGTTTTCAAATACAGTGTATATTAAATAAGTAAAATAATCTGTTCAGCACAATGCAGCCTAATCTCCCTTTGGATCATCTGTTTTTGACACCTGTATAAAGGCTGTTTTTAAAAATGGGAATGGATCGTCCCTCTAAAGTAAAAAGGAAACAAAGAAGTGTATGTGTTAGTGCTGTGTATGCATGCCTCTGGCTTGCATACACAGCACTAACACATACACTTCTTTGTTTCATAAAGCATTAGCAAGCTTGGGTTCACTTGAAGTCAAACTCAAGTCACAAGATCATATGACTGGTGACATATCTGCTGCTGATTAAACACTAAAAATAAAATACCCCTCTGCAAAATATATGAAAACACAATTAGATGCACCTTTCCTTTTTTTTAAAAATACATCATTACGTCTTCTTATACAACCATGACAATGACCAACTTTGTCTTACTTATCAACAAAAACTCTGTCTTTCTTTCTTTCTTTCGCACACACACACACACACACACACACACACACACACACACACACACACACACACACACACACACACACACACACACACACACACACACACACACACACACACAACACACACAC